TTGATTCTTGCTAAGTGGTTTCCCATTGTGGATGCTGAAATTCAAGGCTGTAATGTGTCTGCAGGGATCATGCTAGCGCAATTTGAAGGTCAGAATTTAAACTCTCTACACCCATTTGGGCAAATAAAGTATGTGTCCACAGACGAGCTGTGTTATAAAAGTCAGGGGGAGATGTATCCCTGCCATCTTTCTGATGATAATTTGAGCTTATGTCACCGGCTTCACTGAGGATTGCTCACACGTGACGCTCACATACAATATCTTTACATACATCTTTATCTTACATCTTTACTCAGCAACCTGTTGACTGTGTTTTTTTTTGTTTAGTAATTCTTAAACAATTGCTATCTTCGCATTTTACTCCTTTTCTTTCCCAAACTGGAAAAGGCAATTCCCTGTTTTGCTGTTTGCTTAACACCACTTTTGGCTGATCTTTGCAAAAAGAGCATGATGGTCAGATTATTAACAAAGATAGGAAATAAGAACAAAATCATCTGCACCTATTCAAATGATTACCTTTTTTATCATAAAATACTCAATACTTTTACTTCTAAAGACCTAAAACCTTTTAAATTATACCATTTGAGAAGGCAATATTTGGTTGAATTGCTCACAAAAAATGAGCAACCTGTGCTAAAAGGGTCACAAGTTGACATCACTTCAAAGCCTCTAAAGTCTAAAACACTGACCTAGTGCTTCCTGCTATTTTCTTTGTTTGTGGGTCATTTTTTGCTTCTGTTAGACAGTGCTAGCAAGAATTGAGGGGACAAACACAAAGACATGGTCAAATAGTGCTGGCAAAAAACAAAATAGTTTATTTATTTAGTATTATGTACTGGCCCAGCACATTGTTCAGCATTGTTGTTGTCTGTCACAATATATTTAACGGCTGATGGATTTTAGTCATCGGACGTCTGGATCTAATATCAGAGAAACAAGCTGAGCAAGCAGCTCATCCTTTGTCTGCGAAACAGCGTAAAAAAACCCTGATTTGTAAGGTGAAACTGCTTTATTTTATGTTTTTACCGGTTTTAATCACCGTGTCTGTTTGTTTTGGAGAGGAGGCGACCTCTGCAGATAATTCGGCTCCCTGTAGAGACCCCCTCAACAATAGACGCTCAGGGAATCCTAACCGGGGGAAGCTGACTGCAACAACGGTAATGGTGGTAAAGACCCCACGCTACTTCACAACGTCATCAAACTTTGTTTTTTATGATTGTTTTGATGTGACCCCCCCAAGCAACAAAAATGACATATTGTACATTTAAACCCCTAGGCCACCAGGATGGTCTGTCTTTTTAAAATTAAAAAATGCATCCAAGAGCAATATGTAACAAAGAGTAAATGCAGTAAACATTTCCTATCAGCCTAGGACCTCCCAGCTCCCACCCCTTACGTTTTGTTATCGTTTTATTTGAAAGAGTAAGAAGGCTTAAAAAACCACAAGGAAAGAAAGAACAAGTTGAATTTGGAAGGGGGGGCATGTTCAAACACAGGAAAGCCGGTAACTCAAAGGATTGATTACAGTAGATGCTAATGAAAATAAATCAGGTGTCCCCACAGCTGGGACAGAATCCTGTCTAACTCCTCTCTCTGCTCTGCCTGCCCTCTAGTCAATAAAGGACAACACAAAGGCAAACAGTATGACCACAGAGACTTTTAAACTCGGGGTTGTAAACAGCCACAGTAATAAAGGACCGACTCCTCTTTGCAGTATCACTGTCTGACAATAAAAGCGCAAAGGCAAACCTTCTTTCTTCACATATCAGAAAGGAAAATAAACTGAATTTACATAACTGTCAGGGAGTAGAAAAGCATATTTGATGGTGCAAATATGATCCCGTCTTTGCTGACACAAACCGGATATTTCAAGAAGTGAAAGCTCATATGTGCATTAGTAAATCAACTTGCCTGCTTGCTGAAATGAACTAAATTCGCCCTGCTTGTCAGAGAGTAGGCTTAGTTCTCTTCTTGTGTTCTCTGGCAAGAAATACATTTTCTCTATTTTAGACGTGTTCTGGGTTCATCTCATCCCTTGAATGATAACAGGTTTACAGCAACAGAAATAACACCCAGGGGAAATTAGGGGGCTGTGGTGGCTATCAGAGAGAAATTGAACGCATGCAAGATTATTCTGATCCACTTCCTGCTGAAATGATGAGCGCCTTGAGTGGGGATCGCTGCCAATCAAAGCCACGCACATCAAAGGGCCGCGCTCCTGTCTAATTGGTCGACAAAGAGAGGAGAGGTACGCGCGATTTCTATCATTCCCACAAATGGACATCCTGTCCGGCAGCAGCAATTACCTGAGGCTGTGTATTGTCAGTGGGACTCCCAGTGATGAAACATGTGGGTTGGCCTCTACTTGTAATGTTGCTGAGTTGCCATAATTGATCTCCCTGGGTTTTACTAGTGACGACTCGACAACACTTTTAATGAGGCAAGGGTAGACGAGTTTGACTCATACCTCCAAAATAGCTGTTTCAATCCAATTACCCTGCAATTCACTACTGTGACATGCTATTTGTGATGCTGTGTAGTGAGAGATTCCTTTCCAAACACCTCGTATGAGAAGCGGGAGCCACTGTGACAGCACTCCCTCCACGCGTTTGTCCCACGTCTTTGGTGCAGCGGGTCACTCTGCTTTGGATGGAGAGCCGAGGCTTCACACCATGAGCAAATCAAACAAGCCTCTTTAAGTTCAATTGCTTCCCACAGAGCTGTGTGAACAGTGCACAGAGATAAGTTGTTTCTGTCTAGACATGAAGGAAAACTTTGGCCTCTTTGGACCACCTGACTGACTGCTAACGTTGAGCACATGGCAGGACTGAGTGTCTTTACCTTGATTTGCTCTTCTTTATTGAAAGAGTTGGGCAGGGGTCTCACTTTCTGAACCCTTTGTTGAATTATATAACAATAATAAGGATAGGAAACGCTGTCTACAGCCGAACCTTCATGGGTCTTTGGCTGTCATCAGATTCCTGCGAGTTTATTGTTTTCCTTGTTCTGTGAAGCGGTTCACTTTGTAGGATTCCTGTCATTCAGAGCTTTCTGGTTCCCCATATCTACTGGAACAAACATCTCAAAGGGGAACTCTACACATCAGTGTCAGTTCAGTAGTCGTAAAGAGTATGACTCAGCCTGTGGAAACAGTCGTTCGGTGTCTTCTCTGGCTCTGGAGGAGCTTTGTCAAATATCCCTGAATGATGTCATTAGGTGTCTCTCAGGTTGGGTATAGTAAGCCTGCAATAAAAACTGCGTTTACCAGGCAGGGGGAACAAAAACACAGTGACAGGCTGTGCTCCGTGGCACGCTTCAATCGTCGTGTTCATGTAAATATGTAATGATGGAGAGTACGTATTCTGCAGTGTTTCTATGTCCTGGAGACACACGTAATGCAGACTGTGGAAACAAATTTCCCCTTTGAGAACAATAAAAAATCTATCTTTCTATTGAGATGCATTATTGCGTTGTTGGATTCATGATTTCGGAGCTCGAATCCCACAAGGGACTAAAAGTCATCTCGGGCTCTGCTGCATCAGTTTTGACCATTCTTTTTTAATCTGTCTGTTGTGATGAGATTCCTCTAACATTACTGAAGTGAATACTAAATCTCTGGAATACCAGTGCAACACTCCAATCCAAAAATGGTTGGATTGATGGAAAGCTCCTAAATCGTTTTAATTTTGTTTGCTGCTCGCTACCTATCTACTTTGGGGCTCTGATAAAAGTAATTTTAAGGATAAGTCTGGTTTTATCAAAAGACCAAAGCCATGGATTCATTAGTCCATCTCTCAAAACTTTATGACCTCCTGTGTGGAACTTAGCCCCAAGACTTGTTTTAAGATGTAAAGTAAATCCTGCATTTGTTGGGTGCTATTTTTATTTGCAGATTAATACACATTTGATGTTTTAAGTTTATTTTGGCCTTTTCAACTTTTACAACTCTATAACACATGAAAATAAATCAAATCAAGGCAAGTTACACTGACTGAAAAGCAGAGGTGGGAAGTAATGAAGTACAAATACTTGTTACTTTAGTCTTAATGCATTTGACAGGAATTATCAGTTATTATTATTATATGTAAGTAAAATAAGTACATTTCAGAGCCTGTACCTTTCTACTTTTACTTGATTAAAGGAGTTGAATTAGTATTAAATAATAACTTCTACATCTACCGGAGTCTTTTTTTACACAAGTATCTGTGTGTACTTTTGCCACCTCTGCCGAGAAGGTGTAAGCTGAAGCCTTAGCTTATCACACCTGCCGTTCTTACATTATTTGTTATGTATAGATCCCTTAGGTGTTATTCAATGAAAATATAAATTATTATTATTACTATATATGTGTATTTCATAGTTTTTAAATAACAGTGGAGGTCTATGGCACCGAGGAATAAGCTAGATCAGGTTTTAGCCACACAGACAACACTTATTAGTCTTTTTCAAGGGGCTTTTTGGCAATATATACACTATCACCAACCTTATCCTTGAAGTAATTTCACATAATGAAACATCAGCAAAAAATACACAATTTTGTATAAACATGTTGTTTGTTTTGCTATGAATGTAGTCACTATCAAAATCATTTGGATAGAATATCACAGTATAACCCATAAACCAAGCTGCTCACACTATAAGTGAGCAATAAGGCAGTGGGATCTAGGTAGTCTGTTAGGCGATATGCTAATAATGCTTCAATCAACAAGTTATTGCAACAGCTTTGGAAACTTCTTAAGTGGTATCATGAAGCTATTTAGGTTCTGATTCCACAAGATGATGTGGGAATTAGCACAAACTGCACAGAGACAGAAGCAGGAGGTGACAGTTTAACCTTTTGTTAGTTTGCTTCACTGTAATATCCCTTTGTTCCCATAAGAAACAAGTGTTTGTATTTTTTCATGCCCATTGCTTAGACTAATGGAAAAAAAAGTTCCTCTCTGAAATACACTTATGGAGCAAGATAAGAGTAGATGTTGATTTAGTTTTAATGCGCTCACCTGTAGTTGCTTCCGTTGGTGCGGCCATCTCCCAGACACTGATCACAAGCACCATTACAAGTAGAGCCCCTTTACTTCCGATCTGCGTGTATCGTTCACTCATCCTGGGAAAATAAAGAGGGGCGTTACCACGAGGAAGTGATTTATTACAGCAGTTTTACCTATTTCAGGTAAACCCATAACATTCTTACCCTCAGAACAGCATTACACGAGGACTATGTTTAGCCTTTTACCAACCAACACCACCTACTAACATCTCTCTCTGCCTCCACTCTGCCATTTTGCAGTGTGAGCCTTCAGGATGGATTTGAAGGTTTTATGGCGCACAACAGGAAGAGGGTGCTGTTCCACTAGCTCTCAGTTTAACTTCCATATACATAACTTGCATATTTGCTCTTATCAGGAGGAAATACTAGGCTCTTATCCTTCTTCTTACTTTTCAAAACAAAACTACAGCTGTGAATGTGCCCTAGATCACTGTCTCCAAATCCTCTCTTTCTTCCCCTGCACCTCCTCCCCTCTCCCCCCCAGCAGAAGGCTCTTACAAGCAGCAACATGAACAGAAGGTGAAGACCCTCTGGTGCCTCAACAGGCTTCAGTAAGCCTCTCTAGGCTCTACAGCGGAGTGGAAGAGAGCGAGCAGGCCGCAGTGGCTAATCCATCCCTCCACAGTACCTTTTCCTCTGCACTCCCTCTCCCTAATGAAGTGTGGTGGAGCCGAGGCCACACTGCATAAGCCATCTGGCACAGTGTGTTATCATTGACAGACAACGATCACATTTCAAACGGGGGATGCAGGAGCGGTACGGTAATTACTGGAAGAGGCATGGTATCGTATGGCGTGAGCGTACAATGTTACATGCTGCGTTTACGCCTTATTTACCGCCTCCCGCCTCTTATCTGCCGGCCTCATTGACATATAGATTGAATAAACCTCATAGGGGTTATCAGATTATTTGTGTAATTACGTTTATTTTGGCAAAGGGAACTTGACCTTTTGTCGAGATTTTTTTTATACCTCCCAGCGTCACACAGAAATTAGAATCGAGTGATGTGTCAAAATAGTACAGACAGGACTGTTTAATATGCCCTCTAAAATTATAAATAAGGTGTCTATCATCGTGACATGCAGGCAATGACGTAAACACAGGGGAAACAATTTCTCATATGGACTTGATTCCTGTCTACATTTATGCAAATACCTGGAAAACAATTGGTTTTGTTGTCTTTTAACTTTAATGCAATTTTATATAAAAAAAAACACAGGTGAGGAAAGACATACACTGACTTTTTTACTGGCAGCATTTCTAAAGCATGAAATTCACTTGTGAATGTTTTTGTCAATATTTATTGAGACTTTCAACATTTGTTACTGACTGTAAAGAAAAGCTTGACATATAGGGCGACTCTGCTAGTTGCCTGGCATGCTCACAGTGACCGCAACTTTTAGTTTTGACATTTAAAGAGCAGAAAAACTGGGATTATACCACTATTTCCATTTTTTTCCTGCCCTGCCCCTACTTTATAAGCCGAAAAAGTTCACCCTACCGGAATCACATTCATTCGACTTTGTTTCACTCTGTATTTTTTCCTGGTCATCCACAGCCCAACCAATATCAGAGTAAGCTCTTACTGTGCTATATTTATTGACAGCTACAGTTACTAATTACTTCTAATTACTCATTGTTGAGCTTAAAGTTAGTTTATCATATAGAATATGATGCATTGTCGTTATGCTCCTTTTTGTTTTTTGTACACAACAGAAAAATGTTTCAGCATTAACAATCCAATGGAATAATAGATAATATGACTCATTGTCACACATTTTGATGCTTTTTAGTACATTTTACTAGTAACAGTATTTTGTATGTTAAGGAATGCTTGACAATTCGTTTGCTGTCTTGCTGGGCGTTAGATGAGAAAAGATCGATCAGAAGCCTCTACGCTAAATTGAGGTAGCGCTAGCTGGCAGTTAGCTTGCAGATCACAACACTGGAAATAGCTAGCCTAGCTCTGTCCAGAAGTAGTCTAAGACGCAAAACTACAACATGTTGTTTTTATGTTTTTTTTTTTTTTTTGTCCATACTAAACACACAAGGTATAATATGTTAATAAGTGTGCTTCAAAGGTGCTGATAAATGGGCTTTGTAACCTTTGGCCAGAGCCAGACTAACTGCCCCCCCGTCTGTAGCTTTATAGCTGTTATTAATGTAAATGTCGAACTATTCCTTTAATATACAGCAAAAAAATGCTATGTAGCAAGAGAGAGGGAAGGATAAGGAGGAGTTTGAGAGGGACACAGAGAAACTGGCTTCCTCCTGCTTCTAAAGCTCCCAGTTAAACTCCCAGTTAAACTTTTAATCATCTCATATCATTGTTAAAAGCTCTGAATTGAGACCTTTTAGGTTTTATGATCACGAAGCAGCTTGTCCTGCCAGTGTGAGAAGCTAACGTTAGCTAAAGAAGCGACAAAGCAAAGCTGTCAGCTGTATCATTAGGTCTCATCAGTTGGACATCAAAACCTTTTCAGGCAAGTCATCAGTTTGTCATCATCAACATACCCCCGTGTTTCCCAACCCGCTGTATCTGCTTATTCTACACTTCCCTGAATGCTCTCTGGGAATGCTGGGAATATCTGAACATCATGTCACTTAACCACTTATCCACAGGAGGAAGAAAAATACACAGAAGATCTAAATGGACCCAACTGGTCTTTTATGGTTTCATCGTGGATTTTTCCATCAGCAAAATGACGTAAACCTCCAAAGAGGCCAAGATTGCCAGTTTCATGACACTCAGCGGGGAATTCAAGGTAGTTGGAGAGACATCTGAAAGGAAATTCACTAAAGTGTTGAGTGTGATAGCAACGTAATTGTGAGCTTTATGTATTTGCTCAAATGGACCTGAAATTGTACACCTGGGTGCTTGCACTAGAGCCGTGGGTGCTAATGTTCACCTTCATGGCGACAGATTTATAGCCGCTGGTTAGCTGAAGAATTGGAGGCTGGGTTGAAATGGTGGCCAGTCGATGTTGTGCTGTGCAATTCACTGTGTGTGTATGTGTGTGTGTGTGTATATATATATATAAATATATATAAATAAAAGGGTCATTGGTGACAGAGTGCAGGGCAGAGTACTACAGCATCATTTGTTGGGTGCTGTCTCAGGGTGCAATTCTACAAATGACATCTCATTGTCCCTGAATGTGCCTGTTGTCATTGGTGCGGTGGTGTGCTCGGCAGAGCGGGTCGCTGAAGATTTGTTACAGTTTGAGGCCATTTTACATCTTGACCTTGAAGTGGAGGTCTTTAGTAGTTTTGGAGAAACACAAAAATATTGCTGTATTATCCCAAACTACCTGCTACCTGATTTTTAAACACTGGTAGCTTTTTTTCCTGCTGCACAGGGGCTGATTCATTCTGTATTTACTCCCAAAACTGTTACAATTGTATAAAAATGATTCATGTAGCAGTTTTCTGATCTGTCACATCTGATCTAATGGTTTGGTGAGGTGTAGAGACTAAAAAGATTCAAAATATTATCCTGCTCTCCTAATTTACACTGAACAAAGTTATAGGCGGCTGTGGCTCAGAGGCAGAGTGGGTCGTCCACTAATCGAATGGTTGTTGGTTCGATCCCCGGCTCCTCCCGCCACATGTTGATGTATCCTTGAGCAAGATACTGAACCCCGAATTGCTTTGCCGAGATAATCCA